TCCATATAATCTTTAGTCAGTAAAAACATTGTGAATAGGTTTTCCTTAACATCTTTACTAGATTTGACCATGATTATGATAAATAGTAAAGTTTTAATTTACGCTACACTGATTTTAATTATCCTTTTACGTTCATCTTTTATGATAAAGATTTACTCATCTCACGTTTTTGATACATGTTTTAGTTGTTTTACACTAAACAGTACGGTATTCCCCATCAGGACCCTCGTATATGTGTTCCCAGACAGCCTTTAGATAGACTGATGCACAGCAAAGTCAGCAAGTGAGATCGGTTCTGTGCCGGCGTCAGTATCAAAGTGTTACTTCAGACAAATAGTGTAGCCAGCTTTATGCTGTGTTTCTGCTGACATGGGTGAGTACTCTTTGGCTATTTAACTTCACTGGCACCTGGTGAATCTGTACCCTGTAGAGGGTCACGGGTGGCCCAGTCGTCTAAGGCGCTGTGCAGAGTTGCGTCCCTTGGGCACGCCAGAAACCTATGATTGTGGGTTCGAATTCCGGTTCGCCCCGATTATGTTTTTAGGTTTGTCAGCACCATACCCGTGCTCGTGGGTTTCACCGAAGTGGTAAACGTCTGAGATCTGCATCACTTGGGGCTTTCCTCCCACATTAAGCTGGCACGCCGTGATATAACTGGAATACTGTTAAAAGGGGTGTGAAACCCAACTCACTCACTGTACCTTGCAGACCTTGACCTTGGTAAGCTGGACACTTATGTGTATGTTTATGGGCTGAAATATTCTAACCTTCAGTAGCTCTAAAAGTGTAAGCGATTTTTCTGGATTTCTATTCATTTGGACCCTTGGTAATCTGGAAACCTGTTTATCTGGAAGTCTCTCCACCGAGACAACCACTGTTGGGACATATACATGTATTATTGAAAGGTCATTATTTCTCGTCTAAAACTTTGTTCATGTGGTTGAATTCACTGAAACTGTCCAGATTAACAGGGTATCACTACAGCCCTCACAGTTTGATTTGATCCTTTTTCACTGCTTTCGTCTTAATGTTATTTTCATGGCTGCCAAAATCAAACTTTCAGGAGCCAATTTTACAAACAGCTATAAGTCAGGTTTAAGATTTATGTCAGCTGAACATGTTGCAGTAACATGATTGTTACAAAGTCAAAATATCAAAACATGTTTAATTTTTTGTCTTGTTTATTATATGTATGTTTTTACAGAAAAAATATAGTTGTGAAGAAGGCATAGTAAAGCAGAAACATTATCTTTTGCATGCTTACAAAGTAAACAGAAAATCCACAGTGAAGTATGCCAACATGCACCATTATTACACTAAGTTTGGGTATTAAAGTGGGTACTAAAGTGCACACTTAACAACAACACACCACCCACCACCCCATCCCCCACCCACCCACCCCCACCCCCACAGCTGTGTAGAGGGGGTGTGCATAATAAACTCAGAGTTAGTTTTCACCAATGCAACGACATTACCTTGAACACTATGTCAACAAATCCATACTGAAGTACACAAATTAATCCTGTAATTCATAATAAATGACCAGTTCCTATATAATGTTCAAACTTAAAACTTTTTTTATTTCAGGAAATTGAACTGTTCTTGACTTTTCACTCAACACCCTGAAAATATACCGACAACGTCAAAACGAATACCTGTAACATAACAGGGACTTTTTATGAGACTCCTTCCTGTGCAAAGTTAAAAACTTTAGTCAGTAAAAACATTGTGAATAGGTTTTCCTTAACATCTTTACTAGATTTGACCATGATTATAATAAATAGTAAAGTTTTAATTTAAGCTACACTGATTTTAATTATCCTTTTACGTTAATCTTTTATGATAAAGATTTACTCATCTTATGTTTTTGATACATGTTTTAGTTGTTTTACACTAAACAGTACAGTATTCCCCATCAGGACCCTCGTATATGTGTTCCCAGACAGCCTTTAGATAGACTGATGCACAGCAAAGTCAGCAAGTGAGATCGGTTCTGTGCCCGGTGTCAGTATCAAAGTGTTACTTCAGACAAATAGTGTAGCCAGCTTTATGCTGTGTTTCTACTGACATGGGTGAGTACTCTTTGGCTATTTAACTTCACTGGCACCTGGTGAATCTGTACCCTGTAGAGGGTCACGGGTGGCCCAGTCGTCTAAGGCGCTGTGCAGAGTTACGTCCCTTGGACACGCCACAAACCTATGATTGTGGGTTCGAATTGTGGTTCGCCACGATTATGTTTCTAGGATTGTCAGCACCATACCCGTGCTCGTGGGTTTCACCGAAGTGGTAAACGTCTGAGATCTGCATCACTTCGGGCTTTCCTCTCACATTAAGCTGACACGCCGTGATATAACTGGAATACTGTTAAAAGTGGTGTTAAACCAAACTCACTCACTGCACCTTGCAGACCTTGACCTTGGTAAGCTGGACACTTATGTGTATGTTTATGGGCTGAAATATTCTAACCTTCAGTAGCTCTAAAAGTGTAAGCGATTTTTCCGGATTTCTATTCATTTGGACCCTTGGTAATCTGGAAACCTGTTTATCTGGAAGTCTCTCCACCGAGACAACCACTGTTGGGACATATACATGTATTATTGAAAGGTCATTATTTCTCGTCTAAAACTTTGTTCATGTGGTTGAATTCACTGAAACTGTCCAGATTAACAGGGTATCACTACAGCCCTCACAGTTTGATTTGATCCTTTTTCACTGCTTTCGTCTTAATGTTATTTTCATGGCTGCCAAAATCAAACTTTCAGGAGCCAATTTTACAAACAGCTATAAGTCAGGTTTAAGATTTATGTCAGCTGAACATGTTGCAGTAACATGATTGTTACAAAGTCAAAATATCAAAACATGTTTAATTTTTTGTCTTGTTTATTATATGTATGTTTTTACAGAAAAAATATAGTTGTGAAGAAGGCATAGTAAAGCAGAAACATTATCTTTTGCATGCTTACAAAGTAAACAGAAAATCCACAGTGAAGTATGCCAACATGCACCATTATTACACTAAGTTTGGGTATTAAAGTGGGTACTAAAGTGCACACTTAACAACAACACACCACCCACCACCCCATCCCCCACCCACCCACCCCCACCCCCACAGCTGTGTAGAGGGGGTGTGCATAATAAACTCAGAGTTAGTTTTCACCAATGCAACGACATTACCTTGAACACTATGTCAACAAATCCATACTGAAGTACACAAATTAATCCTGTAATTCATAATAAATGACCAGTTCCTATATAATGTTCAAACTTAAAACTTTTTTTATTTCAGGAAATTGAACTGTTCTTGACTTTTCACTCAACACCCTGAAAATATACCGACAACGTCAAAACGAATACCTGTAACATAACAGGGACTTTTTATGAGACTCCTTCCTGTGCAAAGTTAAAAACTTTAGTCAGTAAAAACATTGTGAATAGGTTTTCCTTAACATCTTTACTAGATTTGACCATGATTATAATAAATAGTAAAGTTTTAATTTAAGCTACACTGATTTTAATTATCCTTTTACATTAATCTTTTATGATAAAGATTTACTCATCTTATGTTTTTGATACATGTTTTAGTTGTTTTACACTAAACAGTACAGTATTCCCCATCAGGACCCTCGTATATGTGTTCCCAGACAGCCTTTAGATAGACTGATGCACAGCAAAGTCAGCAAGTGAGATCGGTTCTGTGCCCGGTGTCAGTATCAAAGTGTTACTTCAGACAAATAGTGTAGGCAGCTTTATGCTGTGTTTCTACTGACATGGGTGAGTACTCTTTGGCTATTTAACTTCACTGGCACCTGGTGAATCTGTACCCTGTAGAGGGTCACGGGTGGCCCAGTCGTCTAAGGCGCTGTGCAGAGTTACGTCCCTTGGGCACGCCAGAAACCTATGATTGTGGGTTCGAATTGTGGTCCGCCACGATTATGTTTCTAGGATTGTCAGCACCATACCCGTGCTCGTGGGTTTCACCGAAGTGGTAAACGTCTGAGATCTGCATCACTTCGGGCTTTCCTCTCACATTAAGCTGACACGCCGTGATATAACTGGAATACTGTTAAAAGTGGTGTTAAACCAAACTCACTCACTGCACCTTGCAGACCTTGACCTTGGTAAGCTGGACACTTATGTGTATGTTTATGGGCTGAAATATTCTAACCTTCAGTAGCTCTAAAAGTGTAAGCGATTTTTCCGGATTTCTATTCATTTGGACCCTTGGTAATCTGGAAACCTGTTTATCTGGAAGTCTCTCCACCGAGACAACCACTGTTGGGACATATACATGTATTATTGAAAGGTCATTATTTCTCGTCTAAAACTTTGTTCATGTGGTTGAATTCACTGAAACTGTCCAGATTAACAGGGTATCACTACAGCCCTCACAGTTTGATTTGATCCTTTTTCACTGCTTTCGTCTTAATGTTATTTTCATGGCTGCCAAAATCAAACTTTCAGGAGCCAATTTTACAAACAGCTATAAGTCAGGTTTAAGATTTATGTCAGCTGAACATGTTGCAGTAACATGATTGTTACAAAGTCAAAATATCAAAACATGTTTAATTTTTTGTCTTGTTTATTATATGTATGTTTTTACAGAAAAAATATAGTTGTGAAGAAGGCATAGTAAAGCAGAAACATTATCTTTTGCATGCTTACAAAGTAAACAGAAAATCCACAGTGAAGTATGCCAACATGCACCATTATTACACTAAGTTTGGGTATTAAAGTGGGTACTAAAGTGCACACTTAACAACAACACCCCCCCCCCCCCCCCACCCCCCCACCCACCCCACCCCCCACCCCCACCCCCTCAGCTGTGTAGAGGGGGTGTGCATAATAAACTCAGAGTTAGTTTTCACCAATGCAACGACATTACCTTGAACACTATGTCAACAAATCCATACTGAAGTACACAAATTAATCCTGTAATTCATAATAAATGACCAGTTCCTATATAATGTTCAAACTTACAACTTTTTTTATTTCAGGAAATTGAACTGTTCTTGACTTTTCACTCAACACCCTGAAAATATACCGACAACGTCAAAACGAATACCTGTAACATAACAGGGACTTTTAATGAGACTCCTTCCTGTGCAAAGTTAAAAACTACCTGTAGCCATTATCTGAAAATGAGCTGAGGTCAAATCTTGACCTCCAAGCTCTGTCACATACAGGTGTGGCATCGGAGTTGCAACCACATAGAAATTGGATCCAGAAACAACTTCTCGTAGCATTATGGGTGAATGCACACACCATTCTATAGTCTATCCCATGGCTATGGCTATGAGACTGCATGCGATGATCAGTGAAGTTTGTACATACTGTCTTGGATCGCCATTTTGTGAAGAGAATGTGGAGTACTGACAACAGGGTCCTTTACTGTGAGTTATTTTCAAGTTTCATGTTTCAAATACATATTCATACATGCAGTAATTATAAACCTAAGCGACATGTTCATATATATGATCCATCCCATCAGTATTGTGGGGGTAGGAAATGGGTCAATGGCAGGGGGCCCGGAACTATCAAACCACATAACATGTGTTGCAGTATGGTTAGTTAGGGACCAGTTCAAAAGTTTGATGTTGGATAAAAAAACCTTAATTCACTAAGTTTTGAGACATATCCCCCACCCACACCAAAAACGTAATTCTGAATATGTTGAATTGAGTTTAGTGGGCTCTTATGTCACACCTTCTTGTGTTTTGCCCTGCTTTTTCCGAATACTTATTGATGCCCATTCACGCCCCATCCCTTAACATAAGGAATTATTATTATTTATCAGATATTGAACTTATAGTCCCTTATATTTTTAAGATGACATATAAACTGTTGGTAACATTTACAACAATATCCAAATGAGTTTGGCATATTTAATAATTATCATTTTCCAGATTTGTTGATTCATAAATTAATTAAGTTTGTTTGTGGTTGGAATAAAGTTTGTAGTGATCAGAATTCCACCAGCCATATTGCTGTATCGGGTGCTGCAGCACTCTGTTCATTGCTGCTGATGTCGCCGCCCCAATGCTGTAACAGTGAGAAGAACAGCAAGCAGTATATATGTTGCTGTGTGCTAAAGCCTTTTTTCTTCACTACAAAAAATACTTTTTTGTTCTACAGATTATATATTTTTCTTAATTTAAATTTTCTACTTGATTTCTTAAAATAGTATTGTTAAATTTAGTAAAATATAGAAAAGGTGAAATCATTTTTTTCATCACTAAAGTAAGTTTTAAGTTAAAAATAAGCCTCACAAAAATGTCTTAATCTTTTAAAAGATGTTATGTAAAAGAAATATCCAATTAAAATTGTTTACAGGCCAGTGACATCCACCACAAGCAATATGTTGTTAGGATATCCCTCTATACAGATAGATATATATATAAATAGATATTCCCGCCTTTTGTTGCTGGGCTGTCACATAAGCCAATAGATTGTTTGCCAGTAGAGGGCGTCCTTCAACATGGCTGCCTTCCAACCTCTGAGATGAAGCCAATACTATTAGAAAACCATATCAAACAGAAGTAGTGAATTCAAGGTAACAGGGCAATCAGATTGTGCGATTTCATGACTTTTTAATCTCAGCTGGGTGAACACTATGTCAGATAATCTGCCTTTTCAAGTACATACTAGCATCTGCACTCGCAGCCTCGTGGTGTCGGCATCGTCCATTCATGATTTCCTTATTATTAAAGTGATATATCCTGCTTACTTGGACACACTACACTTAAGACATGTGTATAAATGATGTGTTTACAAGCACATATGCTTCGTTGATTCTTTTCACCGACTCCCTGTGATTGTCCCATTCAGCTGTTTCCATGACATGCTTATCAGATCACATTACTGTGCAGCGTTTTCAAATGTCAAGGAAATCTGTACAGAGCTGTGGGTTTTAGTCTGATGATTAAGTATCAGCGAATGTAACAGTTGCCCCGAATGTGTCTCCCCCTACACCTCCCCTTCCAACATTCGGAGGAGATGGGAAACATCCTGTAGTGTGTGGCATAGCTTCTTCACTGCTCAGTAGCTACAGAGTTGTTAAGTATGAACATGTTACTACAAAGTAGACACAATTGTGGATAACAACTTCTTTAATTACTTAGTCTGTCTTACAGACCATGATACAAATACCTTATTCAACGTAATAAGCGCCCAGGGCACTCTTAAAATTAGAAATAGGGGGCTCTTATTAGAATATTATTTTGGTGAAAAAAGACAGAGATGAAAGATAAATTTCATGGTTTATGGTGACAGCCTGAAATGTTTATGTACGAATTTTATTGCCCATAATTAAGGGTGCATATGACACACGAGTGTGTATTATATGCGAATAAATAAGACTTGTGTACATTGATCAATCGGAAGGGGTGCTAATTGGGATTGTTCACCAGCCAATATATCAGCAAATATCTCCGTGGGCGCTTATTAGAGCGGGGTGCTTATTACGTCGAATACAGTATGTATCAAATACAGCCCATGCATGTCTATAATGTTTGGCAAGTCTAGATCACTGCAGAATCTGAAAATGAAGAGAGTCACTGGGCTCCTTTTTATTATATTTTTATTAAGATAACTGAACAACTGTTTTTTTCTGTACAATATGTTCATTTCAGAGTCGAGATGTTAATCTATTAATTACTGTAAATGCAATGTTTCGATATAGATCCTTACACCATTGTCAAACTGCTTTGCTTGACAACTGTATAAGGATCTTTTCTGAAATGTCACTTTTACAGTAACTGAAGAAGTTGTTGTCTATAAACTGTGTCTACTTTGTCATCCGTCAACTTCTAAGTAATGAGCATCAAACAGTTCAACATGTTACTTACCCTAATTTTCACTAAACCCTGGTTATTTGTAAGAACATTTTAAAGGTGCTTTAATCTTAAGATAACCTCAACTGAAAGCATTTAAATGTAAACAAAAATAGAAAATGCTATCATAGCATGAGATGGGTAGGTATTAGGGTGAGTATTAGGGTTTGTTTTTGGGGTGTTAAGTTTAATGGCAACTGAAACACTGTAAACAATATTGCCTTAGAAACCACAAGAGCAATTATCCCGGAATGTTGCATGCTTTTTCCACCATTATAAGCCTACTGCCACTTTTGCCTATTGTATTGTAGGTATCTTCCTATGTCGCCTTGTGAGGGGTACTACTTTCAAGTGAGGCCTGCTTTGAGGTTTTACATTTGTCAGGTAAGACCTAGGTTTTACAAGGTGAGGACAAGATCTATGGATGAACAATTTCTTTATTACAATTAGGAGTGATGTTTTAGTGTAGGTCCTAACACCGTTCACATCACTTGCTTGAACCTAGACCAAAATGTTGCTCCTAATTGTAATAAAGAAGTTGTTCATCCACATATCTTATCTTTACTTAGGACTCCCAACTTCTAAATGCCTCTCGGGGGCATGGGTGGCCCAGTCGTCTTAGGCGCCACGATTCACTGTGCAGAGTTGTGTCCCTTGGGCACGCCAGAAACCTATGATTGTGGGTTCGAATCGGTTATGTTTCTAGGATTGTCAGCACCATACCCATGCTTGTGGGTTTCACCGAATTGGTAAACGTCTGAGACCTGCATCACATCGGGCTTTCCTCCCACATTAAGCTGGCACGCCGTGATATAACTGGAATATTGTTAAAAGTGGCGTTAAACCCAACTCACTCACTCACTCTCAAAGAAGCTAGGTTTTACATTTTACATTTTATAAACTGGCCTTTAGATATGAATATGATGTTCATTTTTGAATGATTAAAAGTCACAATTTTTTCCACGTGAAAATTCCATGACGTGAATTGAACCTTCAACCTCATATAACATGTTGAGTTTTGTAACCCATTGGTGCAGGTGATGAAAGATTGTTCAATTTTACATGTAATGACTTCAGTGCATGCTGCACATGGTCTTTCTCTGGCACTCTTTGATCAAATTCCTTTTGTTTCACTATATGGTATCCCCATGTTTTCTTATTTTTTCTGGTATTTCTTGCTTTTGCACGGTTCATAAGTTGGATAAAACACTCCTCCTTGGTTTTGGTTGAAAATGTAAAACCACAGATAGAGGTAAAAGCCTGACGACCCTTTGGCTTTCCCTCGCTTGAGGTTTTACATTTTCAGTCGGGAGGAGTGTTTTATCCTTAACATAATGACACTGGAATTTGTTAAAGGGGTTCAAATCTGTTTTAAAAATGGCCGCCATGGCAGGCACATTGAGAAACCTGCTTGTAGTCATTGCTTATCCGTATTTGTTCAAAATGTCATAAAAAATTTGTGCAATGTGTTGTTTGTAATGGGGTTCAACGCGTATGTTATTTTTTTAAAGATGTGAAGTTTGATGTGATATGTGGTGTATGTGTATAGGTAGCTATATACCGGGGTATATACTGAAAAAACGTTGAAAACATTAACATTTTTATAACATTTGACAAAATGTATGGGTGGCCATTCGGTCAAAAAATACAAAGTTGAAAAAAGGACAAAAGTACGCAATTAAGGTCAAATATGACGAATAAAGAACTAAATATTACTACTAAAGGTAAAAATACAATATTAATAGTCAAATGTTACGAAATGACTTCATAAGAAAAGAAAGAACAATGTGTACGAAAGAACATCAGTGATCACGAAAGGACGTTTTCAATAAAGAACGTCAGTGAGCACGAAAGGACGTTTTCAGTAAAGAACATCAGTGAGCACAAAAAGACGTTGACAATAAAGAACGCCAGATGGTGCTGCAATTTGTAAAACATTCCGAGTTTAATCGGCTTGTTCCGCCGTGTATAGTATATGATAACTGCATGCCGAGGTGCACAATGTATAACGTCATTCCTCGTGCACTCACCGTCTGACGTCACACATATAAATGTGGATGTAAACAAGCAAAATAAATATGGTTTGAAAACAAACGCTGGCGTCATAGATGAAACTCGATTTTCTTTATTTATGGCGAGCTATTTTTCCTAACGAATGTGTAAGTTATACATATGCATACAAATCCATTTGGTATATATATTTGTTGTTCAGATATTAGGCAGCATTTTGTTCGCACACAGTGTCCGAAATGCTGTTAAATAAAACAAACTCTCGCACAACGTTCACTTTTCAGCTGAAAATGTGCGTCTGAAACAAAACTCGGCATCATAGCACCCTCGTTATTGGATCACTGTAGATGAATCCTAGTTTAGCGTTAAGTGAGTGTTTTTTGAAGGTTGTATACAAAATACATGTACCAATGTTAGGCAGATGTTGGATTACACAGTATACTGTATGAAAAGGCCCTAAGCGGTGACAAAGCTTAACGCAACATGTTTATACACAATGTGTACATTATACATTATAAATACATGTATATATATGTGTGACGTCAGACGGTGAGTGCACGAGGAATGACGTTATATGCATTGTGCACCTCGGCATGCAGTTATCATATACTATACACAGCGGAACAAGCCGATTAAACTCAGAATGTTTTACAAATTGCAGCGTCATCTGGCATTCTTTATTGTCAACATCCTTTCGTGCTCACTGACGTTCTTTATTGTCAACGTCCTTTCGTGCTCACTGACGTTCTTTATTGAAAACGTCCTTTCTTGCTCACTGACGTTCTTTCGTACACATTGTTCTTTCTTTTCTTATGACGTCTTTTCGTAACATTTGACTATTAATATTGTATTTTGACCTTTAGTAGTAACATTTAGTTCTTTATTTGTCATATTTGACCTTAATTGCGTACTTTTGTCCTTTTTTTCAACTTTGTATTTTTTGACCGAATGGCCGCCCATAAAAATGGTAACAAAAATCACTTTAAGCTGTTTGTGTATTTAGACAGAAGACAATTAAACACAACAATATCATTTTGTCAGACAGTCATCATTCTTTGTCATGCAAGTAAATATTTACTGCAATTAAAGTTGATTTCTTGTCCTACTAGTTAAAGTTGATTATGCGTTATTGTGTGTCATAGTATATTGTAGCGATATGTAAAATTTTATATATGTGAATGCTGAATTTTGGAATTATAACCATTTCTGGTATTATGATATTCAGGATTGATTTTTTAGGACTTTTAGGAATGCACTACCAAAGTTGTATCCTGCACAATTTTCTCCCTGATCGATGCCGACCCTGATCCTAAAGACTTTATTTCCCTTCAACACCCACTCACAATTTATCCCATGTATGTAATGACGAAACTCACATCTCTGTTCATGTGTTATGTCCGTCATGTGGGTTTTCTGACACTTAAGAAACAGTCATAGTTTTCTCTCTAATCACATGAACAACTGTAAATCATGTCATTCACTTATAAAAGACAACTTCCTCTTAAAAACAAGCCATTGTCTGACTATTTACAATGTCTGTGTGATGCTACACCCCCATTCTAGCGAGAGTAATCGCGATAAACATGGACGTCCGAAAACCTATTATCCAATGATAATTGATATGAATATCTTCTGCCTTTGGTACTCTTGTTATTACTTCTTTCATTTCTAAAACTGTAAGTTAACTCAACATGATTTGAAAAATTGTGTACACACAAGGGGAGGGAAAATAGCGTTTCCAAACAAGGGACTTTGGCGCACATCATCGTCAATTTTAGTTCGAGAACAACAATACAACATACAGGCTTTCATGTCTGTTGCACTTTATCAATATTTCCTAATTTGTATGTATGTATGTATGTATGTATGTATGTATGTATGTATGTATGTATGTATGTATGTATGTATGTATGTATGTATGTATGTATGTATGTATGTATGTATGTATGTACGTACGTATGTATGTACTTCTTTGGCCGAATTGTTTACAGGGGGTTGGTTTTGGTGAAGTTCGGAACTCTGTGTTTTCACTGTGCCATTAACAGTGATGTTACCCGTAAAGATCCGGGGTAGAATAGGTCTTCAGCAACCCATGCTTGCCGTAAAAGGCGACTATGCTTGTCGTAAAAGGCGACTAACGGGATCGGGTGGTCAGGCTTGCTGACTTGGTTGATGCATGTCATTGTATCCCAATTGCGTGGATCAATGCTCATCAATGCTCGATTATTTACAGACCACCGTCATATAGCTGGAATATTGCTGAGTGCGGCGTAAAGCAACAAACCAACCAACCAACCAACAGTGATGTTAATGACCAGGGCTCTTTGTTGTCTCTCATGGGAGACAACTCCACCAATTAGGCCTGTGTTGCAGGTCCTGCTCACAGACAACTCCACCACTTAAGCCTGTGTTGCAGGTCCTGCTCACAGACAACTCCACCACTTAAGCCTGTGTTGCAGGTCCTGCTCACAGACAACTCCACCAATTAAGCCTGTGTTGCAGGTCCTGCTCACAGACAACTCCACCACTTAAGCCTGTGTTGCAGGTCCTGCTCACAGACAACTCCACCAATTAAGCCTGTGTTGCAGGTCCTGCTCACAGACAACTCCACCAATTAAGCCTGTGTTGCAGGTCCTGCTCACAGACAACTCCACCAATTAAGCCTGTGTTGCAGGTCATGCTCACAGACAACTCCACCACTTAAGCCTGTGTTGCAGGTCCTGCTCACAGACAACTCCACCAATTAAGCCTGTGTTGCAGGTCCTGCTCAGACAACTCCACCAATTAAGCCTGTGTTGCAGGTCCTGCTCACAGACAACTCCACCAATTAAGCCTGTGTTGCAGGTCCTGCTCACAGACAACTCCACCAATTAAGCCTGTGTTGCAGGTCCTGCTCACAGACAACTCCACTAATTAAGCCTGTGTTGCAGGTCCTGCCCACAGACAATTCATAGCTCAACCTGAGCCATCAGCCTTCCACTGTTTGTTCCGTACCTTAGCTGCATCCGAAACTATTGACTATTCTGGGGGCAACCTGGGATTTATATTGGAGACAGGATATTTCTTTGGTCACTGCCTCCAAGCACCCATTTTCTTTCATTGCAAGGAGCCGAACAATTTTTTGTGTGTTCACAACACTTCCCATTTCAACACATCCAACATGTCCTGCAAACAACTTTTTGTGTGTGGAAAAACCTGAGGACATTATATTTTTCAGTAATTCATTTTTTAAAATCTTTCCAGCCCCTCTCACCTGCCTCATGTGTCCAAAGCCCTCAGAAATCCCCTTCCCAATGCTTCCAGTGTCCACCCTCCACCCACAGATGGGGTGGACCATGCATCAGCCTTGGATGACATGGACCTCTTTCCATGAACTACCACTTTCATTTGACATTAGATAAAGGACTGCCTCCGTGGTCTAGTGGTAGAGCGTCCACCCGGAAGGTGGAAGGTCCGCGGTTCGATCCCTGGCCACGTCATACAAAAAGACGTTAAAAGATGGTACTTGTTGTTACCCTGTCTGGTGCTCAGCATTAAGGGGCTAAGACAAGGACTGGTCAGCTCGGAGTCAGTATACTGTGTCTGAGTGGGGTATTCATGTTAAACTGCGGCATTGTATCTCAGTGAGCTAGCACTATAAATCGGTATCAGTCCGGACTAGTACAAGCAGCAACACACACACACGTGCATGCACGTCGCTATATAAGTGCAATAATCTTGGACGCATCGTTAAACCCAATTTCACCATTTGATTAAAACACTATGACTTTTCTCCATGTTTGCAGAATGGCAACTCCTGGCAGACTAAGCATAGAGTGTACAGGGGAGGAGGAGGAGCTATCACATATTGCCACTAGTCACAGCATCAGGGCGTCGCCCACCTTGTCGTCTCTCCCTGCAACCCATACTGGCCTAGAATCTACCCAGCTGGCAGTTGATAGTCCCTGGCTATGTGTTGGCAGCAGCCATGTTGACCAGGTAACACTGAGAGCACTTCCTGAGACATACATCACATAGGCAATTATTGTTAGCATTATCATGTTAGTATGTGACATAAAACCTATGGTTTTGGCAGACCATAGACCGATATTGGTATATTGGAGTTTGGTTAGGTGATTTTTTTCCCCAAACATTTTAGGTTAAAATAAAATTTCCGTTTTTGAAACATAATAAGGAAAATTAAAAAAACAAAACGGTTAAGTGAAAGACTTTAGTTACTGTCCTTCCTCTTTTAGACTACAGAGAATATTTTGTCATTACTGAACACACTCGGCTAGAAGAAAACAAAATCTTCTCAAAATTTTAATTTTTTCAGTGTCTCTGAAATTTAAGTCAGAGCAAGTATTATATAATTTAAAAAAAGACGTAAGTAATTTGCATAATGGACACAATCTGGTACTCCAATAATCTCATTGAGATCTCCCAGAGATAGACAAAAGTTGTAGTTGGCCATATTCTTTGAGGTCAACATTTAATAGTGGAAGTGTGAGTTATTCTCAATTTCACAGTTGTGGTTCCCGTCCACTGTCACAAAGTACAAACATGTAACGATTACAATGATTATACCTGACAGGACAATAAACACATTTTGATCCCAATATTCTTGAAGGTGGAGAACCCTCATCCCACAAGTCCACAGGCCCCCGTTGTGATCAAAGTTGTGCTGAACGGAGATGATGTGGAAACAGTGAATGTGATGAGAGACGGAGGAGATGCATCTGTCAAACTCCAAGTCTGTGGTCAATCGAGGGGCGATAAAGGGAAGAGTAATGGTAATCTTTGAATGGTCTTAGGAATTATGTTTGTGTGATGGATATATGTTATTGATGTGGGGGCAGGAGTGGCCCTGTCATCTGAGGCTGTGCAATTCACCGTGAAGAGTTGCATCCCCTGGGCACACCAGAGATCTGTGATTAAGGGTTCGAATCCCGGTTCACCCTGTTTATGTTTCTTAATTTGTCAGTACCATACCCATGCCATGTTTCTGTCTGAGGCAGCAGCCTTGTGTGATTCTTGCAATAATTTATTGATTGGCGCATGATATTTAGGGTCAGTGGGACATGGGGTCAGATGGGTTTATTTCATAAAACTGTAAAAAAAATATTTTACATTACTCAGGCAGCTGCTTCATTTATTGAATGTAAACATCCTGATTTTTGTTACCTTATGCATCTCAATTTACTATCACTACCTTTCATTGGCGATATTTGCTAATATATTGGCTAGTGAACAAATCCCAATTAGCACCCCTTCTGATTGATCAATGTACACAAGACTTATTTATTCACGTATAACGCACTCATGTGTTATATGCAATTATGGGCAATTAAATTCTGGCATTTCAGGCTGTTAGCATAAACCACGAAATTTATCTATCAACTCTGTTTTTTCACCAAAATAATATTCTAATAAGAGCCCCCTATTTCTAATTTTGAGAGTGCCCTCGGCGCTTATAACGTTGATTACGGTATGTGATGTTGGACGTTATTTCTGCATTATGTTAAATCTGAGAAAGCTGACATGCAAAACATTCCATGTATCGGTAACACCAATAGCCTGTATGATCTCTCAAGAGTGTGATCCCATAAGTTTTGAAAATGACCTGATGTTTTTTTTACTGAGGGGATCCTTGTCCCCACTTGTCTAAATTCTTAGCAGAACATTGCCACACCCGGAGTTTCACCAAAGTGGTACATGTCTGAGACCTGCGTCAAAGCGGGATTAAACCCAAATCACTCACTCTCTCTCTCACTCACTCACTCTCTCACTCACTCACTCACTCACTCACTCACTCACTCACTCACTCACTCACCCACCCACCCAACCAACCAACCACCCACCCACCCACCCACCCACCCAACCAACCAACCAACCAACCACCCACTCACTCACTCACTCACTCTCTCACTCACTCACTCACTCACTCACTCACTCACTCACTCACTCACTCACCCACCCACCCAACCAACCAACCACCCACCCACCCACCCACCCACCCAACCAACCAACCACCCACCCACCCACCCACCCACCCACCCACCCACCCAACCAACCAACCACCCACTCACTCACTCACTCACTCACTCACTCACTCACAGTGTTTCTATATCGTTGTATTATGAGCTTGGACTTGTATTACAATAGTTGTTTAACGCCTTATTTGTTTTCAGGAACCTCAGACCCTGATGTTTCCATTTACAAGTCGCTATCTAAGCTATCCATGGCCACAGTCATCAAACTTATTGTAAGTCGAGACAATGGCAAATTTGTTTAGTGTGGATACCCTGGTAGGGTCGGGTAATAGGGGGTTGGGTACCCGGGTAGTTAATTTGGACTCGTCCCAGCCCTAGAACCTACTTATGTGACATTACAAGTCAACAGTTATAAGAAGTTTCACAGTATACAATCAGTGAACATTACATTTTTGCCTGGCTGAAATACATGTTTCTTATTTTGTAAATATTAGGGGTAATATTTCTCATTCATAACATACTTTTCTCCTTATTTATAATTGTAAAATTTATTTTTTCAAAATTTAGGGTATGTGTGTCTGTAAAACAATAAAAAATAATTATATCTACCTTATTTTTTTTTGCAGATGCTGCTCCAGATTATCATCTTTGCACCAGTCTGTTCTGTGATTATCTTAATTGCAAAAGGAAATGTGTTGAACATACACTGTAACAATGTGTACAACTATCACTCACCACCTCTGCCTGCCAATAAGACAGAACAGCCAGTTCTTGACAGGACCACTGGTCATGGGGCTAATAAGACAGAACAGCCAGTTCTTGACAGGACCACTGGTCATGGGGCCAATAAGACAAAACAGCCAGTTCTTGACAGGACCACTGGTCATGGGGCCAATAAGACAGAACAGCCAGTCAGTAACAGCAATAGTGGAAATAGCAACTGTAGAACAGATATTGCTGCAGCAGAGGGGTCTTTGCATCACAGGTCCACTCCTCTGGAGAGCCTTGAGAAATCAAAGACAGCTCCCAAGAACATGATTCAGGCTAAACAAATTCTGCCAAAACCAAGATCTGAGGATGACAATGAGGACCATTGTTACTGGATATCTTCAAGAACACATGCAAGAGTAAAGTTTGCCATGGCGCCACTTGAATACAGCTGTCCAGATGATCAGGAAGAGATTGATGTGAAACAGCTGCGGAAGGAGCAAAGAGGGTCAACCATGACAAAGGACTTCACAGCTCTTGCTATGCAAGGAGACAGCAGCAGCAGACAGGAGGACAAATCTGTCACTGGCACTGGCCCGCACAGCCTTACCCAAGGACTTGGCAAGTTGGAACGTCTGATAGGTCCTCTTCTGCAAGTCGCGACTGTTACGGTAACATTGTTTATTGTCACCTTTGCTTATGCGAAAGCCTTACTGCAGCTGCTCTATGCATTGACCCAAAAATTGAATTGTATCCTTGACAAATGGAAGCAATATGTTAGTACTGGAAGGACCATCATTTCTTCAGCCTGTTTCCAATTAATATGCTGTGTTGTGGCCAAGTTGTTCCCAACCCGTGTTCCTCCATATTTTGCGATGATGTTGATGATGTTGATGGAGTGTTCAGGATCTGCCCATGGTGAGTGTCAGGACAGTTTTGACAGTGGTGCACCAGCATCAGAAGGGTTACGTGTCCGCAGTGACCGCGAGAGAACACAGAAACAGAAGGAGGACACTAAACTTGCTGGCTACATATTGACCATCCCAAATATACAAAATGTCAGGTCCGTTGACACAAAGAATACATCCCCAGATGAGAGTTTTGTGCAAGATCGATGTGATGACATGGACGAAGTTAAGCAAAGTAATGATCCGTCTGATGAAACTGAAAATGATCACTCATCTTTAGCTGATTCAAAACTGCTCGTAAATGAGATGAGAGAAGTCCAAGATTTTGGAAGAGGGATGTTTGGAGACTCCTCTACAGAAGCAGGGATATTAAACAGGCGTGGATTTAGAGATACAGAAGAACCTTCTGCGTGTCATGACATGCGCAGTGGAGAAGTCGAGACAAGGATAACCTCACTACCTGAGGATGCACATATCATCTATTCGAGGGATTTGCCAGGGAAACCCCAAGTCCTTTTATCTCCAGGAGGATACAGCTTTGATGACACAGTGGAGACTGATGCTGGAGGCAATGAGAAAGTGGAACATGTCTCGGACATTCTCTTCTCACAACCTGGTAAATAAGCCTGCATGGATATTTTCATTCCTCATTAAAGCAGCAAATAATGTACCTACACCAGTTTGAGGGAATAAATAGAGAATTTTCACCCAAGTGTCTTTTGATATCATATATATCACCGAGTGTTGATATATTTGATATAAAAAGACACGAGGGTGAGATTTTATTTATCATCCAACATCATTTCTTCCAACCTTTCCATTTTGTAGATAGTAATAAGCAGTGTCTGAAGTGTAAAAAGTACTGCTAACAGATTCAGTAGCAGAGCCATTAGTGATGTCATTTGATTGTGACATCATTTTAACCAATGACCTCAAAATGGTCTGAAAAGCATTGTGATGCAATTTCATTGCAGCGATATCTACAGTGTAGATATCGCTTGATCTCACCCCAGTATATCTCATGTTGGAGCCAGTTTTGGACGATAATAGAATTTAAGAGATTGAATCAAGATTTCTTTTTGAACCTAAGATAAGAATTAAGGAGTTTAGTCTTTTTTCATATTGATCATACAAGCATGCATGATATTACTATGCTGTAAATGCTTGTAATATGTTTCTACACAGGCTCAAGAGATTTGACACCTCTGCTGCACTCAGTGAAATATAAAGAGAGAGACTTTGAGCATCCTATCTTGCCTGTTGACTTCCAGCTGGATGAGCGACTGCACATGCCACCAAAGAGAAAGTACATTTGGCCACACTACCATTGCATCCATGGGGAAATGTATGACATGATGAACTTCGCCCTAGGCATTGAATCAGCTCTTGATGGAACCGGAGTGTTCCTTCAGGTTAGAAATGATGGGATTGATGGGATCATGTTATTGTCACTGAGGCCTAAGGGATGAGGGTGGGTGGGGAGGGGAGGGTGGGGTGTGTATGTGGATGGGGAGGGGGGAGAGGAGAGAGAGAGAGGATGTGACGCAGTTTTTATTTTATTCCCACCCTCTCCGAATATGTGCATCCCCATGAGACTGCCATATATTTTGGTGACCCTCCCCTGATTCTCTCTGACCCACACACCCCTATTTAGTAAATGACCTGTCCCTGAGATCATCAATTGTCTCAAACCACAGATAACTCAACATATACACCTGCAAAAGAGAGTAAGCATAACCTATCCTTTATTTTCATATATAAGATAGCTACGCGATAAATCACAAAGTACAAGCATGGTTTATTTGCTGATTAAACATTAATCTATCATAATGTCCTCACTGGGGAATCGAACATGCCCTTGCAACTTGGTGATGCCGTAAATTGGACGACTTTATTTTTGAGTTGCTCCCCATAGACAAAACTGATGTACGCATAGACATGTAGGTAAATGCAATGACCGAATGATCACATCCAAAAGAGGGAGAGATCTCACAAACTGTATGGGGAGAAAAGGTACAGATAATCGATGTGAAAATGGTGAGAATATTGCTGTATTGTGTTTAAAATGTGTTTAGTCACTTTGTGCACTGAAACAAATGTGTTTGTCAATATGTAAATGTACTACAAGAAAATGACAGTCAACATATTTGGAATTTGAAGGATTTCTAAAAAACAAAATCTGGTTTCCTGGGTGTGTTCTGTTACTAGGTGATAGGTACATGACAGGCACAATATAATGGAAGTATATGTTCCCCAGAAATGTTTCTTGATTTGTTAATTAAACAGCCTTGTCATTGAGGGAAGGGAGATAATCATTTTTTTAAAGTTACACAGTTGTCTCCCTAAACATAAGTTTTACAGTTTATAAGAACACTTACTTTAAAAATATGTTACAGGCCTCACCACTTCATGTAGAAAATGGAAACATTTCAACCTGGAGGGTGAAATCCCTGTCCGTCACCCGAACAGCCTACTTTGATCATATGGCAGAAGCTCCCTACATTGAAGAGAAGGTGAGACTTATAGTAAACAGTATATGTCTTGTAGCAAATGTTCTATATGGGATAACACTTACTTAGCACAAATTCTAGTTCTTTTTGGGTTGAGTCGCTTCTGGGATTCGAACCCACACTGCCAGTGTGAGGCACCTAATCGCCAGCACACAAAGTCAGCGATGTAATCCTCTCAGCCCCCAAGGTTTCCACAAAAATGAAAGTCCAACAACTGCTGGTCTAGATCACATACTTTGTGTACCCCTCTGATAAGTGTAACCTGGCATGGCTCCCATGGCTGAATGCTATGGTCCAGATTATTTACAGACCACCATCATATGGTGGTGTCCCAAAGGCAAATATTAGAGGTTTTCAGGAAGCATTGTTTCTAACATCTTCCTGAGGCAAGTGAGTTAACTGTCTATAAAAGTCTAGTTTCCACCCTTGCCGAACTAGGCCGGTATTATGGAGTTACATTTTGGCTGGGCTAACAAGTCTATGCATAGTCCAATCAAAATCGCACAACAAAATCGAAATCCGGTTTGTAAACTGTTGTTTTTATTTCGGTTGATTGCAGGATTTGCAAAAATATGTGCACCTCCAACTTGTTGTCAACAGATATTTTCCAAATCTTTTTTTATGATTTTAATCAAGGTGCTCACATGATTTGATGCACTTTGCGATGTAAGACTCGTTTTATCACAATATAGATCTTGATTATCGATCAGATCGTCTTGACTGTGTGTCGCCATTTTGTCTGAATCAAATGCAAGTGATACAAAAGGTGGAATCTGATGGGTCCATAGGAGAGGTTAAGAAGGGTCATAACTCGTAATAACCACTGGTGGCGCTACGATTGAGCCCAGGAATTCCAGCCTATTTCAGCAAGGGTGGAAACTGGACTTCTAAAGTCAGTTAACTAACTCTCTTGCCTCAGGAAGATGTGTTTCTTATATCAGAACATGAGCTCAGCCTTTTATCCAAGCTCTTTGAAATCTGACATTCCCAGTTGGCCAGAAACATCACTTACTGTAACTCAAGATCTCGCGAAGTATTTGTTTACATTTTGGGAAATCCAGTTCAAGACATGTCTCTTCATTCTTGTGTCATAAGCTGAGTGTAATAATTCATACATTTCTGTTGCAGGTCGAAATTGAAACCTTCTTGCAAATTAGACGGCAATATGAAATCTACATCAGTCATCAGGATGATGACCCAGACAAACTGAAGATATATGGACTTAAAAAGTCTGTAGAGTTTGATCAACATTTTGTGAGGATCTTCTATCAGTGCAGAGAAGCTATTGGTAGGCAAGATCTACTCAAGTCTATTTTAAACAAATGTCTAATGTGATAAAAAATCTAAATGTGTTGATGTGCATTAAAAGAAACAATTTAATTGAAAGGATGTAAATATTTTTCCCTGTGGTATGATGTGGAATAGTGTCTGTGTTCTACTACTGTAATATGGGGAAATATGCATTTAGCAACGATGAACTATTCATTAACGAAATGCAGATGATTTAATCATATTCCAATTGGAACAAAACACAATTGCAAATGTCAGTTCACCAAAACATTAATGTTTATATTTTCAGTAGCTACTTATGTTTATTTACTAAATTCCATTTTGTTTCGAGATTTACCTAAGGTATGGTCTTCCTCCATTAAGTATGTTTAATATGTAGATGATTTCTATGTCTTGATAGGCTCCATCACTGTGTTTGTGACATTCCAACCCTGGAGTGGGCGACGATTTAATCAAAGTCATCAAATGCCAAGTGGTCAGACATTGAAGTCAGTGATGGCACATCCAGCCATCCATAACTTTGTGAGTACAGTATGTCTCTACAGTGATACATCATAGATGTAAGTTTCAACTTGCTGAGAACAGTGAACTTATGCTTTGGTGTGTTCTCAGTATAAATGTCTGATATTTTAGCACACACCCGACTGCTCACAGAATTCAAATTCGATGTCAAACTTTGCAGACATTTGAAAATGTCATTTTTGACCATACTCAGGCATTTCTACATGTATAATTATTAAATTTGATATGCTGCCACAATGTAGTATGGAGTATAACACACAATATGTTTTTAACCTTTGACCTTCACTTACGCCAATTTGTCTCGTGTAACTGCATTTACAACTTCTCCGACGAAACTAGTAGGCTTATGGAGCTGAAATTTTGCATGAAATATTCCAGCTATTGTGTCTCATAAATGTTTTGCTCACAGAATTCCAATCCAACATGGCAGCAACATTGAAATTTTCTTGCCCATTACTCTGTCATTCCTACATGTATCATTATGTAATGCAGTATGTGGTTTGGGGAAAACTTTTGTATCCTGGTAGATAATAGCTGTAGACAGCAGGTAGACAGGTGGATAATAGCTGTAGACAACAGATAGACAGGTGGATAATAGCTGTAGACAACAGGTAGACAGGTGGATAATAGCTGTAGACAACAGGTAGACAGGTAGATACTAGCTGTAGACAACAGATAGACAGGTGGGTAATAGCTGTAGACAACAGGTAGACAGGTGGACAATAGCTGTAGACAACAGATAGACAGGTAGATAATAGCTGTAGACAGCAGATAGACAGGTAGATAATAGCTGTTGACACCAGATAGACAGTTGGATAATAGCTGTAGACAGCAGGTAGACAGGTAGATAATAGCTGTGGACAGCAGATAGACAGGTGGATAATAGCTGTAGACAGCACATAGACAGGTGAATACTACCTGTATACAGCAGATAGACAGGTAGATAATAGCTGTTGACACCAGATAGACAGTTGGATAATAGCTGTAGACAGCAGATAGACAGGTAGATAATAGCTGTAGACAGCAGATAGACAGGTGGATAATAGCTGTAGACAGCAGATAGACAGGTAGATAATAGCTGTAGACAGCAGGTAGACAGGTAGATAATAGCTGTTGACACCAGATAGACAGGTGGATAATAGCTGTAGACAGCAGATAGACAGGTAGATAATAGCTGTAGACAGCAGGTAGACAGGTAGATAATAGCTGTTGACACCAGATAGACAGGTGGATAATAGCTGTAGACAGCAGATAGACAGGTAGATAATAGCTGTTGACACCAGAGAGACAGTTGGATAATAGCTGTAGACAGCAGGTAGACAGGTAGATAATAGCTGTGGACAGCAGATAGACAGGTGGATAATAGCTGTAGACAGCAGATAGACAGGTGGATAATAACTGTAGACAGCAGATAGACAGGTAGATAATAGCTGTAGACAGCAGGTGACAGGTTGATAATAGCTGTAGACAGCAGATAGACAGGTAGATAATAGCTGTAGACAGCAGACAGACAGGTAGATGTAATAGCTGTAGACAGCAGGCAGACAGGTGACAGGTAGATGGGTGGATGGAGAAGGTGCTTCTTTTAGACATCAGCACAGCCACTGAACTCATTGAGTAAAGTAATATGATTGCTTCTCAGAAATTTGTGAATTACTGGAAATTTAAAAGTTGTTGCTGCTGAAGGAGTCACCAGCCTATATGATGCCAGTTTACCCAACACACACAAAGCTCACAGAGCAGTCAGTTCAACAGTCTGACGGAAATCAATGTTATGTTGTCTTACAAAGTAATTTAATGAAAATCTGAATCTTTGTTTAACAAATAAAGTTTGCTCTTCCCCCATGTATATTGCATCTTCCCGAGGCAAGGGAGTAACTGACTATAAAAGTCCGGTTTCCACTCTTGCCAAACTTGGCTGGTATTATGGAGTTACATTTTGGCTGGACTAACGAGTCAATGCATAGTCAAATCACAATCACGCAACCAATTTGAAATCTGGTTCGTAAAATGTCATGCAGATTTTGGTTGATTGCAGTATTTACAAACTATGTGCACTGCCAGCTCGGTGTCAACAGACATTTTACAAATTTTTCCATGTTTTTAATCAAGGTGCTCACGTGATTTGATGCACTTTGGGCGGTAAGACCCGTTTTATCACAATATAGATCTTGATTATCGATCAGATCATCTTGACTGGGCGCTGCCATTTTGTTTGAAGCAAATGCAAGTGATACGAGAGGTGGCATCTAATTGGTCCATAGGAGAGGCATAGAAGGGAATAACTCGTAATAGCCACTTATGGTACTACGGTCGAGCCCAGGAATTACAGCTTAGTTCAGCAAGGGTTTAAGCTGGACTTCTAAAGTCAGTTAACTCTCTTGCCTCGGGAAGATGTGGATAGTGTAATAATGTGTAGCATTGCCCTGAACTGTATTAGTGAAAGTACAAATATGTTTGTGTTCGAGTAGGGCTGGGACAGGTAACTCGGGTACTCGGGTCTGACGGGTACTGAGTAGGACCCGGGTACCCACAGAATTACCCGGACCCATGGTTAGTCATATGATTATATTGTTTAATGGCAAAAGTTATCGAGAACTCTATGGTTACACTATGAGTGACAAATGTTCACATTTCTTTCTGACTATGCACACATTCCTCCTGACTTTATATGTTTGCATAAAGATAAAACTTCAATCAACTTCAGTCTACGCATGACCAGATAATTTTATACCTGTATCTAAATACATTTTGACAGGAGTACGGTCAAATGTTTCCCAATCGGACATTTTGTACCTATCTCTTGATACCTACAGCGGGTACCCGATTAGGGTCGGGTAATAGGGGGGTGGGTACCTGGGTAGTAAATTTGGACTCGTCCCAGCCCTATGTTCGAGTGCTTTGACATTATTATAGGAATAGTTTCTTTTGCTTCATGAATTTCGTGACAGTATAGTGTCCTTGGTATATAGAATTCAAATTTCATTCCAGGTGTGTCAGCTAAAGCAAGTGTATACCAGGTTACAAGGTGGCTGCTACGTGAGGCTGACGATGGAGGGATGTCACGTCTACCCCTCCCCTTCTTGGAGGGTGAACCACTCATGCATCCTGGAGATCGCCCCATCAGTCCCCCACATCTCTCTATGATGTCTGGATGGACTAGATCAGCTAGCTTAATTTACTTACGAGGTTTGATTGATAAGTTCTGATCTTCTCACAGAAGGAATTGCTTAAGTTATGTAATTCTTTAATGTCTTCAGGTCTTTTTTTTTTTTCAAATATCATTTTAATTTAGTCTTTCTATGTTTGACTAAGAACTTATCAATCATCCCTTGTATAATAATTTAGTTTGCTTTATAAGTGGATGCAGGGTGCATGTATGCATATTTTCTACAGTTGTACAACTATTTTATCGAACCAATTAAGAATATAAAAAAAGCAGGCAGTTAAACAGTTGCTATAGTTCTCTTCTCTCTCTAAGCTGGGATAGTGCCTTTTGACTGTAAGGGCAACGTTTTGGTATAGATCCCTATGCCTTATATCCTTATCCTTATACCATTGGTCTTGCTTGACAATGGTATAAAGCTAAGAATTGACCTTCACTTTGTGTGAGTTCATTGGAGTATGAACCTGCATAGAGTGAGGTCCAAACTGTATGAACGTCGGAGCTTGCGACGACGTTCATACAATGTTTGGCCCTCATCTATGCAGGTTCATACTCCAATGAACTCACACAAAGTGAAAGTCAATTCTTATAATTTTTTATCACAATTTCTTTCCTCAAAGGACGTAGGCCAAGATCTAAACAATTTTATTTAGTACGTGTGACCTCATTTTTACACTGACAGCCGAACAACAACCAGCTATATCCCGGAATAAAATAGTTCCCCAAAAAGAGAGGTGACATGAGCGTATGGATGCAGAACTTGCTCTTCAGAAACATCTTACGCAACACATGTGTTCATATAATATCCCCATTAGATGAGAAAGGTCTGTAATGAACTACCTCAGTAAGTCAGTCACAATGACAGCGCGTCGTAATACATTTACATCAAGTACAAGACGTCAAAATGGCCGACACGATAAACGTGACAGGGGGATTTCCGAAGTTGTTAATGAACCTGAAGCGTTTACATGTGTTAGTCATCATTGATCAACTGACCGATTATTGAAAGGTGATTAAAGATGCGTCAAACAGACACCAAGGTAAATTCGTAGATTGCTGGAGACGGTCACTGTCAGCCTAGACACAGATCGAGTCGATACTGACGATAGTTTGGATGTGCATTTTTTTCGTTTGTTCATTAGGATGGGCCGTAGCGAGGAAATTCGTGAACAATCATGCAGTCAAGCTCTCTTACGTTTCTCAATGTATACTGAAATGCTGAGACCAAGATTAAAGGTTCTAAATGATCAGAAATAATGCTTGTATGTATGTTTTCGTGCTAGGGAATTCCCAGGGTTTTTCCAAGGAATGTGGAAGTAGTCCGTCAGTGTTTACGTCATTTCAAGAACACGGTCTCGTGAAAAACGTATAAAAGTCAAATTGTGACGTTCATACACTTATGAACGTCAATTTCGCGGTCATGTGACCGACCTCTCGTCTAATGGAAAAGCCGTGTATCGTGTAAACTTCAAATTAAAAAATTATTAGTTGTTATACATAAGTTGTGTCTATGAATACACAATGCCATTTAGAAAGTGGTCAAATGGAACAAATGTTATATTTGGGATAACACTTTCTTAGTAAAGTACAGATTTTCATACTTTTTTGAGTTGAGTCCCGTCCGGGATTCGAGCCCACACTTGCCAGAGTGAGGCACCTAATCGCCAGCGCAAAAAGTCAGCGATCTAACCCACTCAGCCACCAAGGCTTCCACAAAAAAAAGGTATGTGATCTAAACTACCAGTTGTCGGACTTTCATTTTTGTGGAAGCCTCGGTGGCTGAGTGGGTTAGATCGCTGACTTTGTGTGCTGGCGATTAGGTGCCTCACTCTGGCAAGTGTGGGTTCGAATCCCGGACTGGACTCAACTCAAAAAAGTATGAAAATCTGTACTTTACTAAGAAAGTGTTATCCCAAATATAACATTTGTTACAAGTTGTGTCTACTTTGTCAACTGATGAGTAGTTTTGTTATCCACTTATTCAGTGTATCATCTTATCCAGTATTTGAGTGATACTGTTATACAAAAAGATCTGAATGCCAGTTTACATGTAATATTCTTTTAAAAGATCTTGAACAAAATATGATAACATTTTAGTTTTGAATCTCCATACATATCTTTTTTCTATTCTGTATGTATACAGTTGTATTAGACTGATTCTGGGGACATTACTGATAATTGTCCTATTTTTTATAAACATATGTAGTGTTATTTTCACGCCCTTATAGGATAAGTAAATAATAGGGTGACCTTGTTCATCAGAACCTGTCTGACTAGTCATGACATTTGCGTGTTTCTATGATATCTGCATCTAGTCCTAAAACAGCTAATGTTGCTTTGTCTGTTGTCTGTTGCCACACACAGCTATAGTCTGCCTGTAAAATACTGAGCCTGATGGATATTATGAACAATGCCCCAAGTCATCAATCTGACTAATCTGAAATTTGGCTAATTTTTTTTAACATCAGCTTCTTTGGTCTCATACTCCCTCCCTGTGTCAAGGTCAATGGACACCTTTGGAGGAGTTTGCGTCAGTGAACGTTCTAATTTGTCACTCAGCATCAAGGCCACGTTATCCATGATACGAATAAGCGAAGCCTTCCGACAAGCCTATCTGATTTATGTATCTCAAAAAACGAACATTATTGGGGAGTTCCAAATGCAAAAAATAAAACTGCACTACTATTAGCGATTCTTTAAATATATTTTGTTTTTCTGAGTGCTATGGCTCCTCCGACTGAAAGGGTATATTGAGCTCTGTTTCAGATTTCTTTTGCTAAGGTTGAAATTTTTTAATTGAGATGGTAATGAACTGAAGCTGATTCATGCCTTGATCTGATAGGTCAATCCATGAATCCTTCATTTAAATTGGGTGGTCAAGTTTCACTCAAGGCTCACCTGAAGCATCCTTCCATGGAGGTGTTGTAAAATCTTCACTCATACCAATAAATGATCTGATTTTAATGACCACGGATAAAAAAGTTCTATTTTTAATTGATGAAATATCGTTTACCAACACATTAATCCCTTTGTGTTCTGGCAATATTAGACCCAACAGGTTTAGCGCAAAGATAGTGTACAGCGAGTTCATTAGATATTATATGAGAGTTTCAAATGTAATAAGATTATGATTGATTAAGAAAGTCTTTGTCTCCTTTAATCTGCGGACTTTCATTCCATCAGAAACATTTTTAAGAATTTTTGTTTAGTTTTTAGCCATGTGAAAATGCATTCCTTCAAGTGTTTTGGTCACATGTATGACAAATCTTAATCAATACCAGCCAGTATGCCAAATCTTTCTCTATGTTTGCAGAACATATAGACTTGTTTCAATTATTGTATTGACTTCAAAATATATTTACCAACAAAAGAAACGTGAATACCCTATATGTTTGTTAATGTTTGAAGAATTACTAATATTCAAGAGATATTAGATTGGTTTGATGCACAAACGAACATGTGACGCCATAGATGCATGGCTCGAGATGCATCATTTGTTTTGAGCAGGATTAGCGTGTAAAGTTTGGAAATCATGTGCAGCATATCATGATAAGAATAAAGACACTCTGTGGTTACACTGTTCTGATTGCTAGTTTTGTCATTTAGTACACATTGGAAACTTCTCTTCTTCATGTACACACTTCTGTATATGTTTCTGTGGTTCGCGTTTCTTTTGGTGGTGAGTATTAGGTCCATTCATCTGAGGTGAAGGTCAGGTCACACTTGATGTCTGGCATCAGGATAAAGTCATAATGACTGTGAATTTCATCCTGGAGCTGACTATTTTTTGCCCATGACAAACAAAGCTTTTTGATATATATTTTTGTTTGTATTTTTATGTATAGTGTCCTTTTTGTAGTAATATATTTTGTATGAGTCATTCTATGCAATATTTATCACTATTTATTGGGCTATCATCCGTGCAACCTGAAATCTCTGATTTTCTAGAAACTGAAGACTGTGCTTTCATTTCATTATTTGTTTATCAGTTGAAATTAATTGACATCACTTATTACATGGGCAGACAAATTAATGACCGTTTGATTGATTATTTAGAACCATAATGCTTTCCAAGTAAATATGTTAAAAAAGCAAGAATATATTATTCTCAAATTCCCCAAAGCTGGTTGAGTTGTCGTCCGTCTTGGTGGGAGCTGGGCACTTGAATGTGTTGGCACACGACCATAGTGACATGGGACTGATCAGCATAATGTTAAAGAAATAGAAGCAATTGGTTCCCTGAGAACAGGGGCGGTCGGGTAGCCTAGTGGTTAAAGTGTTCGCTCGCCACGCCGAACACCCGGGTTCGATTCCCGACATGGGTACAATGTGTGAAGCCCATTAGTGGTGTCCCTCGCCGTGATATTGCTGGAATATTGCTAAAAGCGGCGTAAAACCATACTCACTCACTCACTCCCTCAGAACAACCAGCGAATATTTCATGTGGTGAGTGGACAGTTATTTTGTCCGTGACAAAAGTGTGCATGATGCATCAATTGTTTCAATTGCTTTAATGGAGCAGACATCAAATGGTGCTTTTGTCATGTGCAGGTTTTCGGGTGTGCAATGATGGCCAAGTGCTGCAGATTATCATACTCTGGCATTTCAAGATGCAGTCCTTGTGAGGAGGTGAGGTGAGGTGAAATTGGGTTTAACGTGGCATCAAAGATTATTGCACTCTTCTAGCGACGTGCATGCATGTGTGTGTGTGGCTGCTTGTACTAGTCCGGACTGATGCCGATTTATAGTGCTAGCTCACTGAGAGACCATGCCGCAGTTTTACATGAATACCCCTCTCAGACACCGTATACTGACTTGTTTTAGCCCCTTAATGCCGAGCACCAGACAGGGTAACAACAAGTACCATCTTTTGACGTCTTTTGGTATGACGTGCCTGGGGCTCGAACCCCGGACCTTCCGCTCTCTGGGCGGAAGCTCTACCACTAGACCATGGAGGAGGTCTGCAGACACAAAGCAAAGCTCAGCATTAAGGGGCTTAAACAAGGACTGGTCGGCTCGGAGTCAGTATACTGTGTCTGAGTGGGGTATTCATGTTAAACTGAGGCATGGTATCTCAGTGAGCTAGCACTATAAATCGGCATCAGTCCGGACTAGTACAAGCAGCCACACAAACACACACAGGTACATGCACGTCGCTATATAAGTGCAATAATCCTGGACACGACGTTAAACCCCATTTCACCTCACCTGCTTTGTGTCTGCACACTATACACTCTTATATGGTTGTCTTTTGTCAACATGTCGGTCGATGTTCTATGAAGCTGTCATTGTGCAATTTATATGCAATTAGTATGACTTTTCATCTTTCATAATATATTTTTACATTATGTGTACATTTTTACCTTTTCTTACTGCTGATGTTAGTTGCAATGGGAACAATATTTCAGGAACCCCCCAAATTTATTCAGAAATTATATGTAAAGAAATGAAGTTGGAATTCAATCTTCATAGTGAAGTCGATATCTGGTC